TGCTACTACTAGACTATAACCAATCGATTATGAAATGACCGCGCTATCCAAAGAAAGGATTGCTCACAGCTGCATCTGGTTGGAGAAAGTTTAAGAACTTTCTAAACAGAACCAAAGTAAAATGATCACAGTGATACAGTAAGTTATACATTATCTCCTTGGCTAGGAGCTGGCTTGAATGCGGGGTCATGTTCTTCACCTAGTGAGAAATAACTATTTTCAAAAGTTTCTTTTGCGCGAAAGCCGAACCACTAAATGATTCTTATCTTTTATACTATCAGACCAGTAAAAGATCCTGTTTCAAGCCAGGTACCCTTCTGGAAGTAGGGTATGTCACTAATGTTACATTAACCACAATATGACAACTACTTGTAAACTAAGAATATCAATACCTTTGATATTTATAACTGTTGTGACTTGCTATACTGTAAGACACTGGATCTTACACAACTGCCTGAAAGACTACGACGAAAATGACCCCTTCTGCTTAGCTACCCTCATGGAATGCAGTGAGTGAGCAGTAAAAAGTATCTTTTAGCATCCGCAAGCTCGAAAATACTTACATGATGCCCTATTCATTATCACCCTTCTGAGACATTTCAAGATAAAGTTCTATTGATATGTACTGATTAGTATGGATAGATTTTTATAAATCCCCCTTGAGTCAATTTAAGAATATTAAGATAGGCAAACGTTATCACGAGAATACCACAGCTTTTTATCAATAAACAGTCACACCAAAAATAAAACAGAGGTCGAATTTTGTAAATATCTTCTTCTCAGACTGTCTTTTTATAACCTCAAGGTGCCCTGTTCTGATTGAGGACCAACTTTACAAATTGTTCCAGTTTGATCATCACGAGTAGCACGACTAGGCGATTGTTTTTTGACAATAGGCTCTTCCTTCGTATCATCCTGAAGTATCCACTTTCGTTTTCTGCTAACACAGTTGCGGCGAGGCTCTTCAATCGAGTGAACATTATAAAGATGGCGTCGAAGCTCCAAAGCAGAAGAATATGCCTTGTCTTCACAAGATGGGTGAGGGCATACGATAGGCTTTTCCTCGTCTATCTTTGATAAGTGTTCATTATCGATATGATTGATCAGAGTGGCCTTTTCGCGCCATTGCTTGAATCTGTACTCGGGCTGCATGCTCTGATTGCCCAGGCAGAAAGGGCAAAGCCCTGGTGAAACTAATGTATAACGGAATCGCAACAAACCACAACGCGGCTGTAGATCTTTTAGATGAAAGCAACAATGGTCCTGCCAGTCAGTCTTGGTGTGGAACCACTTGGCACACAGAAAGCACCATTCCAAAAACACTCGGTCAGTGCGACGATGAGCTCTCTTTCTATTTTTGTATGACTGTTGATATGGTGCTGCATTCAGTGATTTCCTTTTGCATTGAAGTATATGCTTGGAGCGACCTTGGATCTCAAAACTGCAGGAATCAGCATTGAATACAGGTATAAGAAACCTGAAACAAACCTTGACATATCCTTTAAACAAACCGGACATCTTCCGTCGATTGGTAATTCACCGGGATAGTATGCTACTCTCTCCTCAGACGTGCAGATAGCCACCATATCTAGCATACACTGTCTTCCAGTCTCGCTGTCAATTGTCACTTCGCTGAATAAGTTATCTCGCAGCCTGTCTCTCTCTGGCATGTATTTTCGGTAGATTGAAAATAAACATGTTGAATCACGTTCAGTGAAATCCTTTCCTGCAATATATTCATTATAGGAGGACTTCCACCAGTTCTGAATAAAGTCCTTGGTCTTGCTGCGTCGTCTCTTCGCCACTTTGTTGTATAACTTTTCTCGTTCGCTTGCAAGGTCCTGCTGCTCATTTGGCTTGCCATTAATTTCTTTTGTCAGAATCTCAATCTCTGCATACAGACCTTTTATCTCCTCATCATTCTCAAACTCAGCAACAGCAGCGGCATCAAGCTTCTGGGGAGCATTTGGGTCACGGTGGTGTGCCATGCTTTCCTCTATATCGAGACATTCATAGTCAGGCTCTAGATTCCAAAAATGCGCTTGGATATCGGTGCGTTTAAACTTCGATTGGTACTTAAGATAAGTATCCGGGTTTGCATGATCTAATGCTTGACTGCGTATAGCTTGAGATGCCTTTGCTATAATAACATAATCAGTAATGTATACTATAGCATGCAAGCGTATTACATACAGTCAATCGTAGTTGCCACTCGGCCTCTGATTCCATGGATTCGTAGCGGGTCTCGGAAATGTTCTCGTCGGGCGAGAGAGCTCAGATCATTCCGAATTGAGGAGAATGTGAGAGCACGACTAGGATGCGGCCCATTTGGGGTAACCATGCGGAGAACTGGTAAAGATTGTGCATGATCCTCCCATTCAAGTGTCCAAGATTCCCTGCCCTTGGGTGGAACTTTTGACAGCAACTCATCAACACTGCGAATACCTTTGAAAGCTTGGTCGGCTATGCCTGCAACCATAACATAGAATACAAAGTTCCTGCCAAGCACCTTTTGCTCTGTGATCCAGTTCTTCGGGCTAGAATCATCAGCATCAACAACAGTGATGCCTGGAGCAGGAACTCACATGACTGCCTCATCACTATACCGGTGACCTTTCACAAATTCAGGATCTATAGTAACCCATCTTTTGATTTTATTATCTTTGTATTGGATGTTAAAGGTAAGATGCTTTTTATTTAAATAGTTAGCTTCTCTAACAGGGTTTGTAGACGTAGGAATCCAATATACCTTGTAGTAAAGACACTCATTAGTGTTTCTATATGAACTTGACTCGACAATAGCCCCGGCTCTAGCTCCGGAGCCCGAAAAAAGTGACAAGGCAAAGGCATCTTGGAATCGAGCTCTTTCATGAATGTAGTCATGATCGTCATCTTGAAATAATCGTTTAAGAAGAAGATCAAGATCTGTGGCTGTAACATGAAACTTCTCCCGGTGTTTTGTTTCAAGTCCATACTTTGGTGTCAATTCGTTGTGAATATACTTTAAATATGGTTAGTAAGCGTTGTAATTCAGGAAAGGGGTGAGATATCTAAAACATACATTGTAGACATCACTTTTGACACTCTTCGGAATGACTCTTGAGGTTTTTCTCTCCCACTCAGCGATAAAGCAGGATAAGTTATAATCCACACTATGTTGAGAGGGTAGGTCTCCTTCACGTAGACAGATGAAACTCTCAGAAAAGAGCTTTAAGATCTGGCTGGGAGGATCTGGCTCCACCTTGGAGAAATACCTGTCTTCAGGTTCACCTTGAGTCATCATCCATCTGGACTGGAGTCAGTAATGTCTGTATACATAGTAGAAGAGTATTTTTATTACTTACATCTTCCAATTCTCAACAGCTCTGTTGTACCTTTCATCAGTAGCCGGAGCTCTCTTCTTGTGACATACCTCATTCTCTTTCCGTTTTGTAATTTGTTGGTACTCTGTGGTAAAACCACGTAATTCACCGATTTTTCGGAGCTCTTCAACTTTTCTCCGCCTCTGGTCCTCCTCGGAGAGGCCTGATTTGTTGTCACGTGACATGCTGATTTTCGATATGGTATCACTTTTCAAGTTGTTTACTGAGCATGAGTTTATCGAACAGAAAAAAAGGAATGGACAACCAGGTCAAACGCCCTATTTAACTTCAAAATTTTTCTCGCTTGGTTGCCTGGCTGGCCCGCTTGGTCACTCGATCGCTCACCTATTTGCTCACCCTGCTCACCCCGCTCACCCACGCTCTGGACAGCATCACCCAAATCACCCGCACTCACTCTTCGTCTTAGCGTTGCTCACCCATAAAGCAGCGACTGAGAAAGGGCTCATATCCCACTCGGCCGCGTTCAATAGGTGGCTTGAGTACGGCTGAGCGGACGGGAAGCCCTATTTTCCACACCCTGTGGTCGTATGTACCTGCCTTTTTATTAATTGAATTTATGTTCAGCTGAAGGACCAGATGCTTTAGCGGGGAAATAATCTAATAATTGGATTTTGGGTCTGCATTCATGCTGGAGAGTTCTTTCCATGGAAATGATGAGTGATGATGATCTGGGCTTCATTCCAGGTGTACTGTAGTTCAAGCCTTGTCGGAAACTCTCATCGGCTGGATGGTTTGGGGCAGAGATGGTATGGTCTGCACGGCAAAGGAGATGACTTCCCAAGGTACTGGCATGGTGAATGTGGTGATCGGGGTGGGATAGATGGTAGAGTGGGAATGAGGGTGTGGGTGGGTGTATAGAAAATCCTGAGTACTCTGACTGCTTGCTTCTCGACCAGTGCCAGACAGCCTTATATACCTCATTTGCGCTCTATCCCCCCGTTTCAGTCGCATGTCTCATCCCCCCTCTGTCTTCTGGGCTGAGCTGGGCTGAAGTCTCAGCTCATTGCAACCTGCTGGATTCCTTGTGGAAGCTTGAGGCCGACACAGGAAAGGTTGCGGGGGTGGCAAGGGAGGAGCTGAAGCACAAGAAGTAAGTATACACGTCATTTCATGCAGTGTCGCAATCTTTCAGCCCTGATGTGGTCGAGCGGGCGCTGGTTCGGCCCTACCTGAGTGTCGTGCAGCTCGCCACCGAGCGTGGGCTTTATGCAGTACTGTACAGGATAGATTGCAGCGGAGGTTGCGGGGATGTTGTGCACAGCACTAACCAATGAACCCTTGTGTAGCGCTGCACCGGATGAGGAGTCAACCTCGATCCCTGTCCGCTCTGACTGAGATTCAGTGGACGGCTAACGGTGGGTCTGCTGCATGAGGGGAACAGGGAGTCACAGCTGAATCCGAGAATGTCATCTCCTACCCAATCGTCCCCCCTCCACCTTGATATTGTCAGCTCCGCTCTCATCTCTCCCCTCTGGCATCATTGTTTGATGGACCCATTGCCACTCCTTCTTGCTCCAGCTCTCAGAAGAAGGAGAAGAGCAGAGAGAAGAGGTTATAAGACTATCCATAACCCCGAAGACTGATAGTCCTTCAACGAGCTAGTACTGTACCAGCAGAATGATTTACTCCCAGGGCTTCAACTTCAACTCCTACGTCGAGAAAGGCGTCGACCCTCGCACCGGCCAATACAACTGCACCATTTCCCTGTATGAAGTGCCGGCTGGGGTCCGCAACAGCCCCCCATTGAACTTGTCCCTCCATTTCAACCCCCTGGGAGGGGACGATGTCGGCCTGGGACGGGGCTGGTCGTTTGGGGGGCTCTCCTCCTATGACCCGCCGTCCCGAACCCTAATTCTGTCGACGGGGGAGAACTACAAGGTCCAGGAAAGCACCAGCTCCGTACGGGTGACGGACCAGAAGCTCCAGAGCTTCCACTTCCACAAGACGAACACCACCAGCTACCGCGTGACCCTCAAGTCCGGCCAAGTGGAAGTGCTCTCCAACTTCAACCATCGGAGCTCGGTGAGTGTGCCCACGGAGATCTACGGCGCCAATGGCCAGTCCCTGCACCTCTCCTGGGAGTTCTCGGGCACGCAGCCCCGACTCAGGAAGATTCAGTCCGGCCCGCAGGTTCTGACAGAGATTGTCTACAACGACAGCGCGCAGATTACGACCATCACCCGCGGACCAGGCACCGCCGAGACCGCAACGTTCACGCTGCTGCGCCGGAACGGCCAACTGGCGGAGCTGCGCCTGCCACTGGAGGGCTCGCCAAGTTCGCCGACTTCGGAGGGCTCGTCGAGTCCGCCGTCCTGGAAATTCACATACGAGACAGCGGGCTTGACGACTGTCACCAGCCCGACGGGGGCCACCGAGACGATTGCCTACCGGGCGGCGGGATTCCGCCTGCCCAGCGGAGCGCCGGTCTCGGCCATCCCGCACGTGATCTCGCACACGGCGAGGCCCTTCCAGGACCAACCCGCCATCCAGACCTCCTACTCTTACTCCGACCACAACTTCCTGGGCTTCGGTGGAGGGAGGACCTGGTCCAGCGACGGGGACAATCTGTACCTGACTCCCGCCAACTATGAGTATACCTCCACCGTGCAGGTCGTGGGCGGACCCACCACCCGCCATGTGTCCAACAAGTTCCATCTGCAGCTCAGCATCCACCAGCAGAAGGGCGTCAAGCAGCTCATCCAGACCACCACCTACTATGCCCGCAGCAATACGGCCTTCGAGGGCCAGCCTGCCCAGTACCAGTTGCCCCAGACCCAAGAGACCACCTATCGGGACACGGCCACGGGCGCCTCACCCGCTTCACCTTCGACGAGTGGGGGAATGAGACCAGCGAAACCCCGCCGAGTGGCGTCACCACCGCCCGTGAATACTATCCTGCCGTCAGCGAGGTGGCCTCTGGAGAGGGTCAGGTCCTCTGCCCGCCCGATCCCCACGGATTCCAGCGCCATGTCAAGCGGGAGACCGTGATCCCGGCGGCCAGTGGCTTTCCAACCCCCACCCGCGCCCATAGCTACACATATCTCAGGCTCCCCACGGCCACCGCGGCTCCAACCGCCTATTTCGTGGCCAGTGCCCAACGGCAGACCCGCGAGGAGGGCCAAACCCTCGCGACCACGGAATACACCTATGTGAACGAGCCCGAGTCCGCCGATCATGGCCGACGACAGCAGCAGGTCACCCGCCTGTTCAACCAGCATCCGACGATATATGACTTGAAGTACCGTCATTCGGGCTCGACGGCGTTGACCGAGACTATTACCACCACCACCTTCGACGGCCAGACTACGCAGGAGGAAACCACCACCTCCCTCATCTCCGGATGGACCCTCGCAATCAAGAACCGGGCCGGCACCGAGACCACCCATCAGCACGATGTGATCGGTCGGGTCACCCAGACCGTCACTGCCCCCGGCACCGTCTTCGAGGCCCGAAAGCAGCACGAATACGCGGTCCTCGAGAACGCCGTCGGGTGGCAAGTCACCGTGACCGACAGCAAGGGCGTGCGGACGCGATACGTCACCGATGGCATGGATCGCGTGGTCCGCGTGGAGTCCCAGGACGACGACGGCGTCTGGGATCATAGCCAGGGGTATACCGGGACATTCCGCCCCGTGCAGGAGCGCCGGTACAACGCCCTCGGCCAATGCATCGAAGAGGTCGACATCGACTGGCTGCGAGGGGCCAGCGGCCCGCCCGTGAGCCTGCGCACGACGCGCGCCCTCGAGTACGATGACCGGGGCGAGGTCTACCAGGTCACGCGGAACGGCGGCGCGGCGCACCTCTCCGTGACAGACCCCATTGCCTTGACCCAGACCGTGGGGAACGAGGGCGAAGGCCACGTGCGGGTCCAACTCAACGCGTTCCAGACCCCGATCTCCGAGGCCCTCGTGCGGCGCGACGGCACCGTCGAGAGTGCCGTCGAATATGCCTACGATGGACTGGGACGCCGCCGCCAGATGACGGATGGCTTGGGCCGTGCCGCACACTACACCTACGATAGCTTCGACCGCGTGGTCCAGACCACATGGCCCGATGGCCACGCGATCCGGACCCAGTACGCGCCTGAGAGCCCCGCAGCCTTGCCGGTAGCCATCGATCTGCAGGGCGCCCCCTCGGGCTTCGGCACGCAGTGCTTCGACGGCTTGGAGCGGCCGCTCCGCACCACCGTTGGCGGCCGCACCACCACCAACAGCTATCAGGGCGTCGCCCCCGTCCCGGCCCAGGTCATCACGCCGACGGGCGGGCGCTCCGAGCGCACGTACGAGCCGGCACTGGACTATGCGTTGACCGGCCGGGTCACCAGCGATGGCGCCGACTGGTACGAGCACGACCCGCAAACCGGCCATGTCGTGCAGCTGGAGGGCGCGCTCGCCGCCGCCCGCCTCAGCTACTACCCCTCCAACCTGCTGTCCACGGAGACGATCCAGACCGCGGGCGGGACTCGCGCCTTGGAGTACGTGTACTCGCAGGCGGGCAAGCTGCAGAAGTACACTGACGTGCACGGGACCCAGCACGCGATCCAGTACGACGCGCACGGCCGGCGGCAAGAGATCCAGGTCGGACCGGTCAAGGCGCGGTTCAGCTACGACCAGGCCGACCGCGTCGTCACGACGGTGGCCGAGGACAGTCGGCAGGGGGTGACCCTGACGACCGACATCGAGTATGACGAGTTCGGCCGCGAGTTTCGCCGGCAAGTCGAGACGGGGGCGACGCTCCTGTTCCAGACCACGCAGGCTTACGGGGCCACGGGGCTGGTCGCCGCCCGCGAGCGACGCGATGCCACCGGCACGCTGCTGCGGCAGGAGACCTTCGCGTACGACAGTCTTTGCCGATTAGTGGACTACCAGTGCCGGGGCACGCAGCCGCCGGTCGACGAGCACGGCCGCGCCCTCCGCCGGCAGCGCTTCACGCTCACCGACTACAACAGTATCGCCCGGATCCAGACCACGTTCGCGGACGGCAGCGCGAACACGCAGACCTACACGTACAGTGCGCAGGACCCAACCCAGCTGGTCCGCATCTCCAACACACACCCCGACGAAGCAGCGGCGCGGGCCGTCACCCTCGAGTACGACGCGAACGGGTGTATAACGCGCGACGAGCACGGCCGGGCATTGGTCTACAATGCCTCGCGGTTCCTGACCGCGGTGTATGATAGCCAGAACCAGCTCCTCTGCGAGTACGGGTACGACGCCACGGACCGGCTGGTCCGGCAGTCGATTCCCCACGAGCCGGACACCGAGTTCTCGTACCGCGGCGGCGCGTTGATCGCTGTGACCAAGGGGGATCGCGAACAGCGGGGTATACTGGGGGGAAGTCCAGCAGCAGGAGGAGGATGAGGAGGAGGGAAGCGCGACGAAAACCCAGCTGTGGGCTTCCGACGCGCAGCACTCGGTGGGCACCTGGCTGGATACGCGGGACGTCCAGCAAGTCCACGAGCAAGCGTACCCGCCGTACGGCGTCAGCGCCAGCGCCAGCAGCACACCGACGACGACGACGACCATCGGCTTCAACGGCCAGTGGCGCGACCCGGTGACCGGGTGGTACCATCTGGGGACGGGCTACCGGGGGTACAACCCCCGCCTGGGGATCTTCCTGCAGCCGGACGGGTGGAGCCCGTTCAGCTCGGGGGAGATCAACCCGTACGCGTACTGCCTGGGGGACCCGATCCACCGGTCCGACGCGAGCGGGCACTTCAGCTGGCGCAGCTTCTTCCAGATCCTGGCGGGCGTGAGCGTGGCCATCGGCCTCGCCGTCCTCACCGGCGGGACGGGGTTGGCGGCGGGCATGGCGATCGGGGCCGCCGTGAACATGGGCGTCGGGGTGGCCTACGACCTGGCCACGAACCTCGTCACCCTGCCGGGCACGCTCTTCTACCAAGCCCACGGGCGCGCCCTGGTATCGGCTGCCCTCGGCGCCGCCAGCACGCGAGACGCCCCCGCCACGCCCGCCACCGCCGGATATGTGGCCGAGTGGCCCCTGGAGCAGCTGCGCCGGCAGCAGCGCGGCGCGCCCCCGAGCCCACCCGCTGTCGCGCAGGCCGCTGGCCACAAGGAGCTTTCGTCCGATCAGACCGGGTCCGCCGCCGTCCGGGTTTCCTCCCGCGAGACGGTCACGGCCGAAGATGTCCGCTCGGCTTCGTTTGTGGGACCACCCCCCGCCGGTGGCGCCCCGTTCACGCTGCAGCTCGGTGCGGTCCACCGCGTGGCGTTTACCATCGATGCGCAGGCGGCGCACGTCCCGGCCTGGGACGTTGCTGGGTCTGCCCTGAGTGCGGCCGCCGCCTCGTCCGCGTACCTGGGTTTGCTTGGTTAGGTGGCGTGGGGATTCTGGCTGGCAGGAGGCGCAGGTTGCGGGGGGAGAGGAGCGGGGGTGAGGCTGTACCGCAGATGAAGTACGGATGATCGTCTTTTTTGTGGGGGGGAGGTGGAAGAAAAGAGCGGAGGGGCAGGTTTACAGGCATCTGACATCTCGTGGACGGTATACATCACACTATCAAGATATCAATTCTCCTACCTGGTCCAATTTCCCCGACACCGTAACCATGAATGACACTAGACATTACTTACAAGCCCAGTGATGCGGACAGTCAGCCTGGCATAACATCGAGCTGCCTGGCAGTGACTGTTCAGCTAGCTAAGGTGAGGTAGGGTAGGGTAGGATAGGGTAGGGAAGGGTTTCTGGGATTGTTGTCAGCGAGCAAGTAAGGCGGACAGGGAAGTGCCATGCTTCTCAGTGAGCAGAGGTTGAGTTATTGCAAAAGAAAGAAAAAAAAGAACAACAAATAAAAAAAAACTTAATAAACCTTTCACCTTCTCAAAGCTACAAAGTGCATCAAGATATGAACCTATATCCGTTAGCTACCGTGCCAACCCCTCTTCCAGCCAGCAGTTCTTCCCCTCGCCCCGGCTTCCATCCTTGCCAACAAGAAGATCCAGAGCACGCTCCGAAGAAGCAAGCATATAATATAACATAACATATATACTCGAACTTGTATCCTACACTAACTGATACAAAGATCATCAAGGAAGCCTCCTCACCCACGATCTCCCAACCGGATCTCTGGCATCTTGGTCTCTATGAGCCGGTCATTCTATGCCCTAAAAGCCCCGGTGCAATGCTACTCGCGTGGAAAGTCTTCAGTTACCGGTTGGGAGGGGGGGGGGGGGGGGGGCCTCTGGCTTGGGTATGCATATACTGACTGACTGCACTGGCCAGCACGCTTTCTTCACCACGGTCAAGCGAATGGCCACGTCTGCGCCATGTATCCCCGCAGTTGTTGTTTGATACCTGAACCTCCAACCTCAATCTCCTGTTCCAGATATAGTGGTAGGCTCCTTTCTGAGTAAAACAAAAATAGATCCCCACCTACTGTGCAAGGTCAGATGCTGTCTCTTTGACGGCGCTGCACGCGGTTTTCTGGGTCATATTCAGATACTTCCAGAGAGCCTGGTTGATGGGCAGTCGGGTTGCTGCCGGGATCACCTGCACGTACGGTATGCCAATAGCTACTACTGATTTGCCTTCATCGCACTCTGGACTACCTAGCCACTTTTATACTGAGCACTTACCCCTGATGGCAAACAAACCGCCTGAAGTAGCCCGGGAAGGGCCTGGAAGAGACACTTCAAGACCAGTTCTCGTTCGGCATGTTCGTTGAATATCTTCCTGATCAGGTCTTCTGCAAGAACTGAGAGTTGTATACTATGCTTCCTCTTGAGATGGCGGGATCGAGGCTGGATGGTCCTTACTGGCTGTTAGCAGGGCGTTCTTCACCTGCATGCAAAACAAAAACAAAAACATACAACAGAAGGGATTCGCTGGTGGTCACCCACCCAACTACTAACCTCCCGGCGTGTGGCTTAAGTACGGCTGAGCGGACGGGAAGCCCTGTTTTCCACACCCTGTGGTCGTATGTACTGGTCTTGCAAGAGACATGGCCCATGTGCAAACGGGACGCTCCAGTATACCACGCTTAACCATAATCTACCAACGCTAGGCAGTAAGCCCACTATTCCACATCCCACACAACATACCTCCCGTGTTATGTATGCAACTCAGAGAGTCATCTGTACTGTACTTGAAGATCTTTCTATTGTATTCTTATCACAGGGGCCCCACTAATGAGACCCAAATTCCTCTGGTCCTGAGGCTACCTAATCTCTTCCCCGGAAACAAAACGCCCATATCATGCTAATGCTTGCCTTTCCCTCTCAAGTGTACATAACCGTCAGCAAAACCAATCAGCGCCATGTTCATGCAACAAATAAAGAACAGCTCCTCCCAGGATTCCCCTTCAGAGTCCAGTGTAGATGCAAGCAGTGGTCTTTCCGGAGAAAAACAAAACCGATTTCTATCAGTGATGGGAACCACAAGAAAACAAACGCCGCGATGTCATGCTATGTCGTAACGGAAGGTCGAAACAAAGAAAACGAAAATCTGTACAGGAATACAAAGGGGATGGGAACGGTGGTGATGGCGGGATGGAGAAGCAAAAAGTGAAAAGTGAAATGAAGTCAAGGTCGGGTCTTCTCGTATGCTTCGTATCAGTATCAAGGTCGTAAAGCTGCATTCAAAGAGTAAGGTAAGGTGAATAGACTTTTGCCCGCTTCAGGGAAAGCTGAAGCTGGAGTGGAACATGGGCTGCCCAATGGGTCCGGATGGCCATGCTTCGTGGTGCAGGTAGGGCAGTACGCCGGTCTTGCGTTCGGTAACCGTCTTGCCCAGGGGCTGGTAGTGCATGTGGTCAAAGGGGACGCTGCGCTGCTGCTGGAGGGAGGTGGACGGAGGGGGGATCAGAAGGGTGTTGACACTGCGAACGGGCCGATACGGTGAGTTGCGGTTGGCGAGGAAGAAGGATGGCGACAGGTGAGTTTGAGGGGTGACGGAGTACGCGGAGACGGCGGGGGAGATGGTGGCCGACGAGATGGCAAACGGACTGTTGTGGTGTCTGCTGGGGTCCGGCAGGGAGGTGTAAAGACCGTTGCTCAGTGGAGGAACAGTAGGGACCGTGACAGCAGGGGCCACCGTCGTGGTGGTCGGCATCTGCTGTGAGATCCAAGTGTTGGGAGGAGCGTATACCGGCGGCATCACGCGGCCAGTCGAAGGCAACTGGGGGACGGAGGAGACGGCAGGAGGCATGGTCGGAGCCAGACTGAGAGCAGGGAAGTTGGGTCGGGGAAGACGAGAGACGGAGTCCGGCATGGCAGGGACGAGAGAAGGCACCGATGTCGATGGGGCTGTGGATGTAGTGGTGGTGGTGGTGGTGGATGTGGATGTGGATGGCATGACGGGCGGTAAGGCGGGCGGCAAGGCGGGCAGCAAGGCGGGAATGTTGGTCAAGGCGGAAGATACCGGCAGATTTGGCAGATTCGGCACCATGGCGGCAGTATTTCTCTTGGACGGCAATTCCTCCACCGCCTCGTCGCGGCTCCGCTTGCGTGGGTTCTGGTGGCTGCTCGCCAGCGACAGGTCACTCGGCGGCAATTGACACGCCCCGCCGGCATACGGCAGGCCATTCAACGGCAGCGGCCAGTGGTGTGAGCGCAGAGCATCGGCCGCAGGCGGCGAGGGCAACTTCGAAGGCGAGCACAGCGCAGCCCGCGAAATGGGAGCCAGACCGGGAGAAACCCGGAGTGCGGGAGGAACAGCCGGTCGGTCGCTTTTCTCCGCCACTCGCGGAGCGTTGTTGAAGTAATCCGCGAAAAGCCCCAGCTTGACATGCCATTGGCGCCATTCCTCCTTCGACGCGTACAGGTTGTAGCGAATGTTGCTCAGGAACTCGACTTCCATGATGTGGATCTCCTGCACCGTGATGCCCGAAACCTCGGCCCACGTCTTGTTGGTGTATGTATTGTCATCGAGAACTGTGGAGAAGTATGTCAGCCTCATCACAATTTGATACACAGAACCCTCATGCGTGACAACCTACACTTGTTCCCCAGCATGAGTGCGATAGTCATCAGCCTGTACTCGCTGCCCTTCTTCCCACGGACTCCGGGATTGAACTTCTTCAGGCGGTAAACGAACATGAGAGCGAGCAACACCACATTCTGGCTGACCTGGGTCGTGGAGAGGATGTTGGTCACCCATTTCTGAAAGCCAACCGTCGGCATGGTCTCAGGGGCGAGGGGGCCGGCCGAAGGCGAACGCTCCTCCACAGCCTTCAACTTGGCCGCACTTTCGAACCAGAAGAGACAGGTCATCTACATCCGCAGATTAGCACCCTCGGCCGAAAAGTTCGATCAGATTACTCACCTGCGCAGCAAACTCGGCTAGACTCCCCTTGCTGTTGTTGATCGTCGAGGGGATCTGCAGATATGAGGCCGTGGAATTGGTACTGCTTTTCTTCTGACTCTCCGGCTCGCGGGGGTTGTTCTCCTTGACCGGAGGCTGGTATTGTGGCTTTGACGTCGGGACCATGGCAGTCGCTCCATCGAAGTTCATGCGCGGATAGTCGGAGACCTTGGCGTACGGCGGCAATGTGATTCCATCGAGCTTCGATCCGTAGGCGGACGAGGGGATGACGTTGTAGGTAGCAACTCCGTTCATTTCGCTCGGAGGCGTGGGGAGACCGTCCCGAAAGGGAGCAGTCCAATTGTCCGAGATATCGGGTATCGACTCGAAGGGTCGCTTTCTCGCACTGTCGGACCGGGGGTAGGGGGCGATGGTGGGTGTGACTGGGTGCAGTGTGGGGAGTTGAGGTTGTGGGGGAAGTACCGGGAGAGACATATGGCAGGACGTCCGAGGTTCAATTAACACTTGCGAAGAAGAAGATCGAGAGGTGAAGAGCCAGAACACCGAGATATCTGTAACACCGTGCTCACCAAGCTCTCATCGGGATGGTCTTGGACTAGGTTGGGGTAGGTACGCTGGTGTTTGTTGTTTGATCCAGGCAGCTCGTCAGGTCCGGTGCGTGGGAGAGGTATGCAATGGCTTGCGACCACAGCAGTGGAGGTTGATCTGTATCCTTGAAGTTGAACAGGAAAGTCGCCGGGGGGTCTGGTTGGCTCGAGAACCGCGAATATCAAAGGCCGCACGGGGGAATTGGTAGGTAGGATAGCAACACTGTTGAATGTTGCCCGCCTCGATGGAATGAAGGCACTGAAGGGGGTGGAAGTATCGGAAAGCCAGAATCAAGGATGGACAAGTATCACATAGTATATTAGTGGTAGTATGTATGCTGGCAAGGCAATAGTAGTAGTAGTAGCAACAAGCTGGATTAAAACAGTAGAACTGAAGTGGCAGTGACCAGAATGATATGGAAGGAGAGGTTCAGGTCATAGATCCTGCATGCACAACCCAGTCGTAGAACCGAACTATATCCACGAAATTCGAAGACGCGACAATGAGATGATGATAAAAGAAAGTCAAAGCAGATAATCTTATAAAAGAAAAAAGTGGTTGAAACCTCGAATGGATTGGATTGAACCCATATAGGAGATTGAAATAAATTGGATAAGGCAGTATGGATCTAGAAAGCGAAAAGGGCAAGACAAGAAAATAAAAAATAAAAAATAAAAATAAAATAGATTGGGAAATTAATGAAAAAGTAAAAGAAGGGAAGACGAATAATGAAGGATGGATGAGTGAGGTCAAGACATCATCCTCCATCCAGCAAGCAGCCAAATAACTAATCAACTCAACTTCATAACAACTCCGCTAGAAGAGCCAGGGTGGGTTTAGTTTCTTCGTCCGGAGAAAGTGCAAAGTTGCTGTGTCCATACAGGAGAGAGACAGAGTTTGACCCGGACGCAGGTCCAGAGGGTTGATCCTCCCTTCTGGCCTTCGTTTGGGTCGGTTCCCGTTTGGTTGACCAGGTTTGATTGTCTCTGCTTTGTCTTGAAGAGAATGAAATACCGGTTGATGTCAGAGCCACGGGGGGGGGGGGGGGGGGGGGGGGGG